GCACCTACTATTAAAATTATATAACCCACCTACTACTAAAATTGTGAAAAAAACCACTATTGAAATCACTAGCTCTACACTATTGAAATTACATACATATTATGGAGATTATAATCTATTCACTATTGAAATTACAGACCACCAACTATTAAATTATGGACCACCTACTATTAAAATTGCACTCTGAAAAAATTTTCGAAAAAGTATTCCGACTTTCTTCAGATTACCATTCCGGAAAATGCACATTTTTTCGGAACAAACGTATTCAAATTCCTGGTCATTTCCGTAGAATCCTGATAAATTCAAGGCAAAAACCAATTCTTGACAAGATTCAGCCTCAAACTATACTGAAGTACAAAGATTCTTACCCTGAATTGATTTTTACCTAAAATTATCAGGTTTCTATGGAAATGACCAGGAATTTGTATGTCTTGTTCTCAAAAAATGAGTATTATTTATAATGATAATCTGAAGAAAGCCAAGTTTTGTTGTTTAAAAATTTTTTATAGAGGCTATTTATCTATTACTAAAAATGTAAACCCACTACTGTTAAAAACTCTGCTAAAATTATCCAATTTACTAGCTTACTTGCTAATTGAATCACGAATCTATTTAATATTAAAACTACTAAACAACATATCCACTAATAAAATCATAGTTATTGAAATCATAAATTCACTTGTTATTAAAATTATTGTTCACCACGACCAGCTAAAGTGATTATAATTAAGTCATAAAAAAACATTTTAAAGTGCAAGACATATTGATCTCAATATCTTTACCTTTCAGTTATAACTATCATTGAAAATTTTATTTTATAACCAAAATCTTTATCACCATCCTTTCTAATTACAGCATTGTAATGGTCATTATGACTGAAATCTTATTCACTAATCAAATTTGATTGTTATATTAACACAGATTATGAGTGCAAAAGAATTAAGTCTTTGTAGTGGAGCATAACTTAGTGGCAAAAGATTCCTGCCATATACTATTAATTGACTATTCTTATTTACAGAATTATAACTCCTTCTCTTTGGCTAATCAGAACGTCTGCTGAACTTTTTCTCATATATTATCTTAATAAACTTTAGATCGCTGTATAAATGCACTAAAAAGAATTTGGCAGTAAATAATTGGTTGTACATTTTTAACTTAATGATTATCAATTTTACTGGACAGTAAAAAATCAAAAATCAAAAATAATTATGTTTCAGAATTTATGATAAATCACTTTTTTTTTTACAACTTAGTATTAAATGCATAATAGCTATTAAACCTTTCTATATATCTATATATCTTAGTATCTTGTATTTACAAATTTAATTTCCATAATGCTGTAATGTTCTATTTGATTATTTCAAAACATAAATGAATTTTCTTATTTTAAAAATAAATTAATTTTAAAAAGTCCCTTCAGTATAATTCAAATTTTAAAAAGCCCCTATCAGTATAATTCAAATTAATAAAGTTATGATTTTTCTTAAAAATTACAGTACATTCCAAATTACTGTTGAACCTCTCAAAACCTCCTGTCAAAACCGATAACCTGTCAAATATGATAAAAAAACTAATCCACTATGATTGATTCTGCTATATAAGTCTAATAGTTTGTAAAGTTTTCAAATTCGGTAACCTTTCAATGCTGATACAAAACCTGCCCACCATACATATCGGATTTGAGATGTTCGGTATTGTGATCAGCAGATTTCATGTACTATATCACATCGGAAATCAGAAATCTAGAAAAAATACCAGGCTAATTTTAATCAATTATATTGGTGTTTTTTCTAGATTTCCGATTTCTAGTGTGATACAAGAAATCTGCTAATCGCAATAATTTGTAAATCTATTAAAGTAATAAAACATTCTCTTATTTATTTCGAATATTAATAAATTAGGTGGTGCGTAAGCTAATACATAATAATAATATACTAATACTATAAAGGTAAAATTAACATGGATATGACGATACAATTATGGAAGGGAAGGTAAGTGACAACTTAATGAATTAGACAAATACGGAAGTTAGGAAAAATTATTTGTTACAATAGTTACACATCTCACCTGACGATTTGTGTTAGTCTGAGGCATATGTCTACTAAACATAATGTCTATACATAATGTATATCGCACTATACTATACTTATTAAACAAGTCATACTATACTGGTATACTATACTCTTCATAAACTACTTGTTATAGAAAAATGTTTGTTTTTTCAATTCGTTACACAGGTTTATTCTTAGAAACCTCAGAATGTGTTTTAGCCAAAACCTTGATCATATGAAAAAACTGTATAACATACACAGTTCGATAAACATAATAAACGTACAAATCTAAAAAAAAATTTATAACAATTACATATACGTACGTATTAAAATTAGGTTTTTATATTGATTTTCAAGTTAGAAAAAACTGTAATATGATCAAAATTTTTCAAGAAAAAAATTTTTTTGTTAATGCGCAAAATGCGTTTCATAAGCGAACTTTTGAATTACTATCGAATTTTCTATATTATTTTGATTTTTTATGTTTCTTTTGTTCTCAAATTTGATAGATCAGTGAAATTTTTTTGTTGATAACGCCGACATAGATTACTTAGATTTTACTATATTTGTAAATTGATTTGAACGGAGTTCAGTCCATTTCTAGAATTGATGTTTACTACACGTAGTACGTAATTAAAAACCTTTATATTTGCTTAATTCCACTCCAAGTTCATAAAGTTTTTTTAAAACTTTCATCACAAATCATAATTTACTTTACGACATGAAACACGTTTTAATTCCTCTCTTTGTACACGGAACTGACAGTATTTGTGACTGTCAACCTGGACATTCGTTCAAAGCGGACTGGTGCCTTGATCTTCACGGTTATCTATCCCGTGATGAATTCACCGCTAGACTTAACCAGATCAATAATCATGTTCAAGGAGTTGAACTAATGACTTACAAAACAAAAAAATTATTATATTATATCATTGGGTTATGTTACATTTTATTAACAGCTATCTTGTATGCAGTCCAAGTTTATTATGGGATAGTCATATCTACTCCTGTAGTTGGAATTATTTACTTTTTCGCCAAATATATGATCGAAAAAAATGCAGCCGAACGCGCAATGACATTTACAAATCTATTAAACAATCTGTTGACACAATATAATCAACATGAAAATCCAACCGCTAATTGGAAATTCTGGTGGGTTCGTTCCTACGAAAGATACGCTACTGGACTGGATGGAAGAGCTTATGGAAATGGTCATATAAATATGTTAAAGATGGGTTATGGTTTTAGTCTTTTCTTTGCGGCGTTATTTGCTGACAATGCATTAATAATTCTTGAAATCAATGATGCCCTCTCCGATATTACCAAAAATACCGTTGGTGTGAATCTTGCACCTGTTACTAACTACTCTAATCCGATTATTAATAATAATATTCCTATTAACAATATTCCTGTTAATTCTGTCCCTATTAATGTTAATACTGCCCCTATTAATAATGTTCCTATTAATAATGTTCCTATTAACCCCACGCA